CCAGTGTAAGCAAAATACTAACTTTACATGGTAGAGCCATGCTGCTGCTATATTATGGTTGTAGCAAGAAATAGGTCCGGTCGACCGTAGAAGGACCACGTTCTCACATATACCAGCGTAAAACTGCAGCCCAATGCTACTGTATTTCGTATGGTGAGTGTAGAGAACCGGAGACCCTTTTTTTACTGGAAACGAGGTATTCCATCTTAGTCCTCACGGGTGACAACGCATCTGCATCTTGATGCGTAATCAAGGATAGATGTAAATGTTTATGGGCCACAGCAACCACTTACCATCAAATGGACTGTGTGCTCGTTTGTCACTCTTATTCTATAAAAAAGTACATGGAATCTACAAGGCTTTAAATAACATTGCCTTGTAGACTACGTGTTTGTTGGTTCCAAGGCATGATTACATACACAAGACATACTAGCGAGAGTTGTGTAGGTCGGGTTTTATTTGGTGATAGGACTCCAATTTGCCTAGGATTGGCACCTAGGGTAGGCACTACCTTCTTATCTATTTCCTCCGCCAAAAGGCAGTGCTTGCTGCTTTAACTGCTGTATTCCGTTCGGAAGGGTATTGAGAACAAGTATAATACAGGCTGTGCAGCATTCCACTTTAGTCCACAGAAGTGACAACTTTCTTTGAAGTAAGGCGTAGGTGTCCATGGCCTGTAGAGTAGCCGCTTACCATAAAGTGGTCACTTCAGTTTTATGAAAAACGGTACCCGCACCAAGCACGGTCTTGGTACATGCATGGGGACATCCTACAAAAAGTCACGTGACATATTTGACGTCGTGCTAACAGATTTACAAGTACAACTATATTTGATTAAAAAAACTCAACTGTTAGCAATAATTTAACCTTGTTCAAGTTATGGAAATTAATATACTAAAATTACTGAATTTCCTATTTAAGTCAAATAAAAGATTTCAAAGAATTGATCATCATTATCATTACAGCCCTTCACAAGTCCACTGCTGAACATAGGCCTCCCCCAAAGAATGCCACAAAGCACGGTCCTGAGCCACCTGCATCCATCGACTTCCTGCATATCTTACCAGGTCGTCACTCCATCTAGTGGGGGGACGCCCTACACTTCGCCTGCCGGTACGAGGCTGCCACTCGAGAACCTTTCTTCCCCATCGGTTGTCGGTTCTTCGAGCTATATGGCCGGCCCATTGCCACTTCAGCTTACTAATCCGTTGGGCTATGTCGGTCACTCTAGTTCTACTGCGGATATCCTCATTTCTGAGTTTATCACGCAGAGAAACTCCGAGCATAGCCCTCTCCATAGCTCGCTGAGCGAACTTGAGCTTCCTCATCCGGCCAGCAGTGAAGGACCACGTCTCAGTTCCGTATGTCATCACTGGCAACACGCACTGGGTGTACAGTCTCGTTTTCAAGTTTTGAGGTATACCTGACGAGAAGATGTGCCGTAATTTCCCGAACGCTGCCCAACCGAGTTGAATCCGTCGATTGACCTCTCGGTCGAAGTTGGACTTACCTAGTCGGACTATTTGTCCCAGGTAAACATACTCGTCAACAACTTCGAGCTTAGTGTTCCCAACAGCTACCGGCATAGGTGTGACATGGACATTAAACATGATCTTTGTTTTGTCCATGTTCATCTTAAGACCTATCCGCTGGGAAACACTATTGAGGTCATTGAGCATAGTGCTTAGGTCCTCCAGCGATTCTGCCATAAGGACTATATCGTCGGCAAATCGAAGGTGATATGAGCAGAAAAATTAACCAATATTTCTGACAAACGCAACCAATAAAGTTTTAGCGTCGCTGAAATATTGCGATATGTAAGCACTTTCGTTATATTATTCCATTTGTTGCTTCCTTCTCTCAGTCCGAGCTACTCTTGTCTATTTTAATCGATGTAGAAATTAAGCTATGTACGGTCAGTTACCTCAAGTCTCTTGCTTTTTATCAACAGCAGACAATAATGGCTCTTAAATGTATTGATATAATAACTAAGTAGTCGGTGAACTAGACAATACATAATTATGCACAGGAAGTTTACCCATCAAAAGTTTTTGTTGCCATTTATAGAAGCGGAAACTACCTAATATGTAATTGAGGTCCACTCATACAATTAAAGGTTTGAAAAGCTATTCTTATGCTTTATCCATCAGCAGTGTAGCTACTCACACATCTGAAGTGGAGAATCTTCCTCGGACCATCCTTAATGACAAAGCAATTCAAGAGATTCAACAAAACACAGTATCTGCACCAAAGCCTTTGCTTGTCACAATATCAACTAATGTTTAATTTTTATTTAGATAAACGCACTATTTTACTATTTAATTTTATCACTGCATTCGTTAAGTGAATCCCTCCGCAAACTTGGCAATCTGTCGCTGTAAAATTACGTTCCATTTCATGTCATAGAATCGTAATTTTATTAATAGAATGCGGTCTGGGCCAAGTAAACATACTAAACGTGGTTTCCACCTAACAAAAAGCAATGCATAGATGATTGAACGTGGGCGATACGTGGACGTTACACTTGAAATGCAAAAAATTCGGTTCGTTCGGTCGCGTTCGAATTGGTTTCGATTGAGGAGCGTTCGGGAGCTGTGCACGTCTCCGTGCGCGTCCGCGGAGTGCGTCTGCGCACAACGTAAACTTACTCCGCCAGTTTTGGCGCGGGCGTGTACGCGTCACCGAGCCCGACAGCTAAATGATAATAACATAACAACAATTCTACAAATGATGCGTTAACTATCTCGCAGATTCTCTGTTTTGTCTGCATTGGTACCGTGCCAACGGCGTTCACTACCGCCCCGGACGTGAAATAATTTTCACCACAAGGTCATGTGCGTAAAAACAACGATTATAATAATTATAGGACCACTTGGAGAGGATACTCCTACAACATCTTGCTAAAGACAAAGCTTTTTCCTATCTATATACTTCGACATCAGAGTCTGCATTCCTATCCGTTCTCCTCTAAACTAGGTTTGATATAATATCATCATCATCTTCATTACAACCCATCAAGTTCACTGCTTAACATAGGCCTCGTCCAATAAACCTCATACTTCAAAATCCGCACAAAGAAACAGACTAACAGACTAACATACACCATACATGCACCAATACCAAAAAAGTAAAAAGTATCCCCTCTCTGAAGCAATTGGTTAAAACAATTCATCCATGACCACCTTAAAAAAAGGCCGGGAAAATGTTATTCACACTCGTCAATGTAACTAAAAATAATCAATGGCTTCACGCCATACTTCCTCAACTCATTGAGCTTACGTGCCGGCATCCATTCCAGAATATACTTTACGTCCTAATAAAACAATATTATAAATATTATACACTCGTAGGCAGTTTATTTTAAAAATGAATTAGCATTTTAAAAAATCGATTCAGTTTTTGCACTGTTCCTTGTGATTGAGGTGATTAAAAATCTCATCAGGCCTATAACTGCAAATTTTCTTACAACTACGCTACGTTGCGCGCTCTATATAGAGCATTATCCTCAGATCATAGTTTCTATGATCTGAGGCATTATCTATAGAGAGCGACAAACATTAATGTAACAAATAGGTAGGTAGTATTGTATAGAGATCATTTAGCGTTTTTTTACTCCTGGAATATGTTGTTAAATGTAGCAAATAAGTTTTTTTTTACTCCTGGGAATTATCGTTAAGTGTAGCAAATAAGTAATTTTCGATTAAAAAATTGTTTCAATGCGTTTCTCTCCATCATATTTTTAATAATACATTTAACTGACCAGCTTTGTAGAGTACTGTTTTGTAAACTAACTATTTTTTTAACTAATTTTTTAAATTTACAGACCTTGGACTATTAACTGGCAATAACTGACTTGCAAACTTCAAATTCAGTCTTAAATATCAATATAGCATGGGGTTGCCATCTCTGAAATCTACCAAAAAGACAAACAGTGTGAAAACCTCGGATTTTGGAGCTTTAAACCCGGACATATCGATAGTGTTTTTTTACGTTACTTAGTAAAATAAAATAGTTTTAATTGTTATACAGGGTTATTTTGCAATAACCAGCCAAATTGGCAGAGAAGATTCGGAATAAGTAATATAGGCAAATGGTGAAGAAAAATTAATTAAAAAAAATCTTAAACATTGTTCTTTTTATCTTTTAAATTCAAACTGCGTGGTAGTGCATTATTTTAACTAATTTTACTGCGCACACACACATTCGTAAGGGTCGATCGGTAGACGAAAATATTGTTGCCCATAATTGACATTCAATTTGGGATAATTTCGAATAAAAGTAGAAGGCTTATTTACTCGTATTTTCAAAAAGTGCAATAACAGTGTATCATTATTTATATATTTGAACTAAAGCTTAAAATTTGTCTACTCTTTGAAAAATAACTCTGTATATCAAGTGTTTATTTATTTTCATACCATTTTAAACTAAATTTAGTTTTCTAAAGAAACAAAACAGAATATTCCTAAAGTTTAAACAAACATGTAGCCATCCTGCGTTTTTATTTCGCTAAACTAAAGAAAAAACATTTTTCGGCCGCTTATTTTATGGTATTTCTGATAGGTTTTCAGCAATCTAAAAAACGGACTACAATTGAAACCCCGCCCGGACGCTCCCCGGACGCCCTCTAACTCTAAGCTAGGACAAATCCGTGGAAGCCCGGGCGGATGGCAAGCCTAATATAGCATTAAGACTACTTGAAATTAACTTAAGCGTGTTTTATCTGAAGAATACTCTATACTTACTCCTCATTATTATTTTATTGAAACAACTTAACCTTAAATTTAAGTAATTTTTATTTAAATTTTATTGTGTTTCCTGTATAAAGTTATAATGGGTATAGATTATAACGGGCGGGTTTGGTTAAATGATGAATAAATCATTTCAAGTCCAAAACCGGCATAAAATTTTTATTTTCATCGGATTAATGAATAATTGAAATAGAGAAAGAACTACTTACTAATAATAACTTATAAATTATAAAATTAAATCAGACCACTCACCTATTATGCAGGTCGACGGGCTTGGCCATGGTGAATTCCTTAGCGTGGACATTTAGCTTGTTGCCGGCCGTCGCAGTGGTGCCCGTTGTCGCCCCGGTGCTGTTGGCAGCCGTCGTCGGTGCCGCCACGCCGTCTGTGCGGACGCCTGGTGGTCAACGGTGGTCGTCAAGAGAAGAGGTGATAGGAAAGAGGGTTGTGGATTTTAGATGTGTGAGTGAAGGAGTGCTTTAGATAAAAGATGATGTGACGTTATGAAAAGGCATTGTGACGAAAATGAAATATCAATGTTTTGTACTTATACAATGTGTAGTGAAGTGTGTAAAGTGCAACCCCGAAAGGGGGTGAAACTAAAACAAATATATATATATTTTACTTTTTATTGACGAATTAAGATTTTTATATCTACTAGAATTAATATTTTTAGACTCTATGTACAAAAAATAACGTCGTGGGTCGATTACTTTAAAATATAATAATTTAAAATTTTGTACAGCCGACTTCAATATAAGTTATTAAGAATAACTCAAAAACTATTGGTCTGACCTTGATCAAATTACACGAGAAGTACCAGCTTTCAAATAAAAAAGAATCATCGAAATCGGTTCACCCAGTAAAAAGCTATGAGGAAACACATAAAAACAGTCTAATTGAGTACCGTCTCCTTTTTGGAAGTCGGCAGAAAAATAAAAATTATAGCACGTACTTTGTGGTTAGGATAAAATAACAATTAACTCGCAAAAAAGTGGCATAATGTCGAGACTTTAACTTTGCTTTTCGTGAAAAAAATTCCTTATATTTATACCTAGAACCCTCCTGGCATTGCTGTCTATCTGATCGTAAAGTTTCATCACAATAGGTTCAGCCATTCTGAAGATTAGCCCAGACAGACAAAAATTTTAAAATTGATTATTTGTCTTAATGGTATGCGAATAACCCCCTCAGCTCAATATATTCGATATAACAGGCAGACATTTCAATTTCATTTATATGTACAGATGTATAGATAAGTTTAAACATTATTTTCTCAAAAGAAATACCATATTTCACTTTATGACTTATCAAGAACTGGAAACCTAATTAAGGTCCCAGGTTATATTATTTACTTCTCCTACAGATAGTACAAACATTGCATTTTATACGTATCGTGGATTATTACGAATCGTTTTCATTATTTAGTGGATTCTGAATAGTCAGCAATCGTGAAAAATACGAATTGGTCCGTATAATTGTGAATGCTACAAATATACGTTTTTTTTTACAGGAATGAGTGAGAAACGAACACACATTTCAGCTATTGGTAAGTGGATGCTGTCGCCCATAGGGAACTACATTTATCCTCCATTAGGAAATAAAATCTGAAGACTGAGATAGAATGACTTGTTACCAGTAAAAACGTAAATGAAGTATAACTTTTTTTCAATGAACTCTCACTCATTTAGTTCAGTACTTCATTTAGTCCAATTGGCAGACGAGTGAGACATGTGACGAATAACGCATTTGAGATTTGTGCGCGATGTCAGTTATTGGGTAAATAAAAAGTCCTAAAAATGTTATAATTTGCAGGCATAAACTGTCTACATTCTATACCTTGATTTTCTTATTTTAGATCTTTCATATTTTACAGACTTTATGAACCATGAAAACTAACCATAAAAATTAAAACGTAGATTTTTCTATGACTTCCTTAAATCAAGTGTTATCATAGGTACATCTACTGGTTGGTGGTGGACTGATGTCAATGTATCTAACTGCTCGGACGATCGGGCTACTTTTAACCGACTTCAAAAAAGAGGGGATACTCAATTCGACTTACGTTTTTTTTTTTGTGTGTTATCTCATAACTTTTTCTGAGTGAAACGATTTTGATGATTCTTATTTTATTTGAAAGCTGGTGCTTCTCATGTGGTCCCATATAAATTTGATCAAGGTTTGACCGGCAGTTTTTGAATTATCCTTAATAATTTATATTGAAGTCGGTTGTATAAAATTTTTAATTTTACCACTTGTTCTTAATTAAAAGTATAATCTTTAGGCTGAACTGAAAGACATAGAGACACATTTGCATTCACTTGTTCGCGAACTAGCCATACGTATAAGCTTAGGAACAGTTAATATGAATAGTTCGTAAGTAATAAAAATTAGCACGATTTCAATTAACAGAAAAATTCAATTTATTTTTAGTTAGTAAAAATTTCCCAAGCTTATTTCTTTCCCAGTATCCAGTTAATTGGTAGTAAATCATAAAGCAAAGTGCAAAATAGTCTACCAACGCGCGTGCGCGAATCGTCGCGCTCAAATTCACAAACTTTCAAACTGCCTGAGATTTACAGCTAATTAATTAAAATGGCGTAATGCCATAACGATGGACTCTGAGTGGAGCTACATACAGAAAAAATATAAACAACAATTAGAAATTTACTCAACATCCGAAGATTTTGGTATAATGACTTCTTACCTACTTATTTTAATGAAGTCTTTACGAAACGAATCTCCTGAAAAAATTACAGCTTATAGGTGTATTATCTGTCGATATCTACTTAGGATAAACTTTCATGCAAGGATAATTGTGTGTCAATATGGAAATGCTACAGCTAAACCTAGTCGACATTTTATTTTCTAGATATTATTAGGAAGATACCACTGCCCCTCTTCTGGCTTTTTTGTTCCACGGGCGATATGGGGTAGTGGCTATTCTTACATCGCCACAACACGGAAAAAGGAATAGCAAGAAGATATCGACTCTAATCCAATTTTGTTCAAAACATAAATGCATAATGAGCAGCCGATTAACTTTTCATCACATTTGATTTACCATGCTATTTACAATGAGGAACACAAAATTGCAAATAATCACCAAATTGATAGTTGATAGTGTGATCAGACCTAATCGTGTGCACTTTACTTTACTTATACTCAAGATAAACCAAAATAACACGAACTTAATATATTTTCAGCGTTTAGGCAAAAAAATGAAATAAAGTTTACAAAACGGAGCTAAACTTTACTAAAGGGTTAATAATACTTATCAAAAACTTAAATGGATAATGTGGACAATGATGATTTATATACGGAAATGATTCCCATTGCTTCTTTACATGCGGTACAAGTTACTTTTTTCAATAAAATATACCTAAGTGATAAGAAGCCAAGATTTAATCATATGTTATATTGATCTTAGTTTTTGTTCATGCCCCACTGATTTCGTCAATATTTTTTAATAACGAGTCATTCCATATTTGTTCGCTACGCAAGTAACCTATATTAATTACTATATTATTTTTTTGTTAAAAAAATGCAAACGTATTTGGACTCAGACCACAGAAAATTTACAATAGAAATAAATCTATGTTTTACGAGTAAGTTCTGACGTATGGATGTACCAGGCTGAATTTGTTTCAACAGATTTTGACATTGTCATTAACCGCAGCTCTATGCTATCGTAAACCAAAGTATAAAAACGTTTACATGAATTGACTGCTAATTTCTTATCATATACTTCTGGTAAAAAATCATACTGCTTCCTAAAAGGATTTAAGTTATAGTCATTTGAAAGCACTTCGGAGAGAGCAACCATTTAAAACATTCGTGATATAATGTTAATACGTTAGTGTTACGATTGTATCAACTAGAACCATATAAAAAATAAATAACAAAGTCAAGCCTACATAAAGATAAATAAGCAAAATAAACCTGAACTTTCTGTGACTACGGTTGAAGCTTCAGCCGGTACAACGGATACCGTAGGCACTGTGACCGAAGAAACAGGGGATACTTGAGACACTGGCACATCCAGCATTGGCTGAGTCAACGATTGTTTCACTATACACCTCGACATTTCGTATTTTTCATACACATTGAAATAATACGCGTCGACATTCGCGTTCCACTGACACAAACATAGGACTGTCGACGCGTTCCAAATATGAAGTTTTGTTTATTTTTAATTTTGGCGCCAATTTTACTTGGCAACGCTTGCCAGCTAACACTTCCCACAAGCTAATGTAAATTCACATCCCGATAAAATGTGCAATAATATTATTAATCTAAAAAAATCACCTTCCAAATTTAATTGATTTTGTTTAATTGGACAACAGTAACTCGTGTAACAATTTTTAACTTCAACAAATATTATTTGTCATATAAAAACAGTAACAAATTAGGATCCCCCTTCATACAAACGATAATAATAGATTTAAATATTAGTACTGTAAATGTAAGGAAAATTAGGACATAGGAGTGTTGTGTTACAATAGCACCAAAACAAAGTTTGTTTCCCAAACTAACCCGGAGGCCTGTAGATCTCAAGCGTAGGCTTTCCCTTGGCATTAGTCAGGATCATACTCCGCCGTTTCCCATTGTGTGGAAACTGTAACAAAGAAACAAAGAACAATCATAAATAAAATTCATTTTATTAACAAATTGTAATTTAAGTTAATTCGGAATTCATCTAATAGCAAATTGCTACGATGCGAAGGGTCTAATTATTTTTTTCTCTAGTAAATCTTATTTATATTTTTTTATAGGATAGGGTGACAAACGAGCACACAGTCCAATTGATGGTAAGTGGTTGCTGTGGCCCATAGACATCTATCCTGGTTTGCAAATCAAAATGCATATGCGTTGTCACCCGTGAGGACTAAGATGGAATGCCTCTTTTCCAGTAAAAAGGGTTTCCGGTTCACTACACTCACCATACGAAACACAGCAGCGTTAAGCTGCTATTTTACGTTGGTATTCTGTGAGAGCGTGGTCCTTCCCCGGTCGAGCCAACCCATTCGTGCTACAACTATACTACCAATATAGCTGCAGCATGGCTCTACCACGTAAAAAATATCTCTACAAATAACTTATTTATTGATCTTTCAGAAACTTTTTCACTTTTGAGTATTGATATAAGTAATTTCTGTAGTCAATTAATACAATCAGGCGTTACTTTGCGGAAATCCATTATATTAAATTTTTTTTAAACGGATGTACGCGAGGTAACTTTCTAAAAACTTTAGTTTCTGTAGTTGCCAACTCCTTTTGCCAAGTATGGCAAACATACTCCCTATGGAGGGAAGGGGAGGGCTGTAATAAACAGTAGACTTTTGACTTTTGATTAACGATCAAAATGCAGATGCGTTATCAGCCCCTAAGGACTATGATGGAATTCTCACAACTATTAAGGATTTTTAGTTCTCGTCACATCACAGACCATACGAAAAACTACAGCATTATGCTGCTATTAAACGTGTCCGTCACGTATAAAGCCAATTGCTTTCATTACGTGGCAGCAGCGTGTGCAGCGGTAGTCTGTTTACGAGCATTTATAAAAAGAAAGTAAATGGCATATATGATAGTTTAGCAGTAAACAGCACATCATGATAATGATCAGTAGAACTAGAAGAAAGAACATAGAACCAGAAGAAGTGCCATGACTGAACGCTTGCTGCGTCAAGATAGTAGGAAAGTTAAAAAGGTTACCAAGAAGGAGAACATCATTGAGTTATATGTACTACGTACTAGAGAAGCCATTCCAAACAAAAATTGTGTGCTACTCTATGTCTTCGCGCATGCGCGGGAGTAGTAGTCGCGCATGTGCGAAGACTTTAATTTAATATAAAATAAGATATAAATATAAAATAAATATAAGAATTTAATATAAAATATCCTAATTTAATCTAAACAAACATATTTCTAAATGTAATAATAATTATTTTATGGAATTCACATATCTTCAATTTACGCAAAATTTAATTTGTATGGATTGCACTACAGGTCAGTTGAACTTATGTCAATGTTCGGAATGGCTTCTCTAGTACGTAGTACATATAACTCAACGGAGAACATAAGTTAAATAAAAGAGAAAGAAGAGAATAAAATTTGTGAGTGAAATAGCGATGTTTCCGCCGATTACAGCGCAGCTCTTAAATTTAAAGAATAAAAACAAGATACAATAGCATTTTCGGTGTCAGAGCTTACTATCACCTAACTTTCTCAATGACCTACGGGAAGGAATACAGAACGTTATTGTTGCTTCAGGATCACATAGAGCAAAACTGAGATTTTAATTCCTTGAAATCAAACAGCATGTAACAACTGATTCGTACATTAGCCAATAATTTCATTTTCTTTGGAGCGTATCATTTATTAGGTTATATATCAAAATATATCATATTTATAGACTGTTCATCATTGTACACACATATAAATGATACAACACAGATAAACCCTAGCGGTTTTCGTGTTGTACCAATTCCTTTTGACTGTTGTTGCGCTCAAATAAAAAAAAGCATAGATTTAGATTTATGGTGCATATTATCTGATACATAAAGACGTGAGTTTGTATACAGAATATGAATCATGAAATATTTACACAATCTTGAAGATACGCATGATTCAAGCTCACTTGATGGACTGTCATGGTTTATTTTTGCCCGCATACGCTGAATAAGATGACTCCTGCCTGCTAGTCTCATCGACTCACATAAAACTGAGCGATGATTTATATTTTATTTATTAATTTATTAAATTAAAATAGCAAGCATCGTGTAATATTTCATGTAGTGGCGGTATAAAGGAATCTAATTCTTTGACTAGTATTTAGTTATCTGTGATCTAATATAGATAATTAAAAAGTAGATAACATGTCTCTAGAGTAATTACGAGAATAGAGGTAATCTTAAAATAAGAACAAAATTCTTGTAATTGAACTGTTTATCCATATAACATTTATATGGTACAAAATAAGATTATTTTCACCTTTTTTCTTTTTTAAGGTTGTTGCCCTTTTTTCATTCCATAGGCAATGCAGTTGATGTGCCATTAGCGAAACAAAAACGTTGTCGATAAATTCATTTAATCTATGACTTAGTAAAATTAAGAATTTTAATTAATCCAGTTCATATAATAAATAAATAAATCAATGAACGTTAATTGAAGCTTGATCTGACATCTTACAACAAAAATGTAGATGAATAATGCGAAATTTCACAATATTTTGGTAAGTTAAAATATGTCGTTGAAAAAGTAATCATGAAATCTACTTAATCAGTCGGTATGTTTCTGCCAAATTATCACTAGCCTTAATATGGGTTTCACGGGATATATTAACTTTAAAAATCTAATGATTTCTTATATTTACGTGAATAAATATCTTATATTCTGTAAACATGATCGTTTCCGTCATTACATCATATTTGACAGACCACGAATCCTCGCAAAGGAACACCGATTCTTGCCATGATTGATGCGCGATGCTATTGAAATTAAAACACATCCTAATTTCAATATAGAAGATGGATGGATGGTGCCATCTGCATGGGATCCTATAATTAACAAAATTAAATCAAAACCCAAACATACCTTTGCAAGACTTCAATATACTATAAGATCGTTCTGCGTAGATCCGACCAAAAAGCTAGGGCTAACTATAACATCGGTCCACCCCGTGACCGTAGGTGCTGTAAAGCACCAGGAACGTCATGAATTAAAAAAACGGCCAAGTGCGAGTTGGACTCGCCCATGAAGGGTTCCGTAGCAGCAAGTAACATAATTTACGATTTATGACGTATTAAAAAAAACTACTTACTAGATCTCTTCCAAACCAATTTTCGGTGGAAGTTTACATGGTAATGTACATCACATATTTTTTTTAGTTTTATCATTCTCTTATTTTAGATACAGTGGGGGGGGGGGGGGGCAGGGACACACATTTTATTACTTTGGAAGTGTTTCTCGCGCAAACTATTCAGTTTAGAAAAAAATTATATAAGAAACCTCAATATCATTTTTGAAGACCTATTTCAGTTCTATGTATGGGGAACCCCCAAAATTTATTGTTTTTTTTTTCTATTGTTGTGTGAAAATCTTAATGCGGTTTACAGAATACATGTACTTACCAAGTTTCAACAGCACAGTTCTTATAGTTTCGGAAAAAAGTGGCTGTGACATACGGACGGACAGACAGACAGACAGACATGACGAATCCATAAGGGTTCCGTTTTTTGCCATTTGGCTTCGGAACCCTAAAAAGTAAATTAAACGCGATAAAATCCATAAAAATGGTTTAATTTAATTTAAACATGTAACCAAGTACCTCATTGGCAATTTTATTTTTTTATGTTTGTCTAATTGACACAGGGTTTGCTTCACGGAACTTACTTCAAAGGGCATTTCTACGATTGTAAAAATACCGCGGCACGACTGCGATCAGTGTTCCTCATTTCTCGGTCCACCACAACTACCTATAAATCAATTGCGAACATATTACCCGTTTTTCCTCTGCGCCCACAAAATATTATTCATCATTCATTCATTCATTACAGCCTATTAAAAGTCCACCATCAAGACGAAGATCCTGCCTTCAATTCGTGATTTCGAAATATTTTCATCCAAGCAGATATAGTTTCCTCGGTGGTTTTATTTTCCGCTAGGTAAGTGGTAAATCAACATAAAAATTGGGATCTAACTCGCTTATGTGACGTGTGACTGACTTTTTAAAGTTTGCGACACGAATATTTGCAATGTAATGTACTTATCATCAGTTGATTTAATAACTTAAATTAAAAAATTAAAAAATACCCGAAACAAAAAAAAAACTGATGATCTTCAAACGGCTGAACAGATTTTCTTGAAACATGTCTAAGAAAAATCTCGATTAAGAAACCTTTCGAACGAAAAAACTAAATCAAAATGGGTTCATCCTTTCAGGAGCTATGACGCTACAGACAGACAGACAGATACACACTAGAAATCTATAACACTTCTCTGTTCTCGTCGGGGTTAAAAAACAATTCACTTGATCGCTCGAATAATAAACCCGTTAATGCCTGGTCCTATTTTCTTTATCTTTTTGTACATATAACGAAGTAATTTTATTTTACTTTATTTATAATGAAGTAATAAAAAAAAACATAAATAATTACATCGATGTCGATTGTTGTTAACATTGAGTACGAAATCACTATAGATGAAAGACGTCATGTATTGTGAAATAACATCATACATAATACTACTAATATAAGGATGCCATTTTCCTAGTAAATCAGAAGATACGAGTGTACTTACTCTCATATTTGGCATAGTATTCATAGATCAAAGATGTGACTTGTCATTTCAGCTTATGAGCCGATTTCAATGATTATTCTGTATTAAATAGAGCGTACTTCAGGGGTGGTCCTATACAAATGGGGAAAAAATCCATTCCTAAGGGTGGAAATATAGGAGGATGAAGATTTTAATGTAACTATTTAGGCAAGATTCTCGTTGCTAACATGACCTTGTGATATTCATTAGATCACTCAAAAGTGTGAGAAACAAACTTTTATTAAATAGTAAAACCCGACTCCAAAGAAAACTAAATAATAGGTGATAAAGTTTAGTATGGTGGAAATTTTTCCTTAAAGTTTTCCGAGAAATCAGTTAACATTCATAAAAAACACACGCGCGGAAGATAGAGCCTATTCGTTTTGCAATCACTTAAAAATAGTAATTGACATTCTACGATAGCATTACATATTATGGCTTTATCACTTGTTATATTTATAATTGTTATATTTGCTTGTTATATTTATAATTTCATCACAATTCGATGCCGTTTTGAAAATCTCTCTTTTGCAATTTGAAGAGTTGTATTATAATAATTTGCTAAGAAATCATTTTGTTAATATTAATATGGACTATGTTAAGGTAATCATGTTCTATTAGTTGTCGACGTAGGTTGTGTTGTATTGCGCACATCGCCTACACGTTTCTTGCAATGTCAAAACGCATTCTAATTAGCGTCTTCATATTGCATGCTGATTGGTGTATATTGATAAAACTAAACACTAAATATGATTTTTATGAACGTGGCAACAGTCAACTTGATGGAAAGTGGCTATTGATTGTTGTAGCACATGGAGCGTTACAATCACTTTCAAGCAAATAAAACCATAGACTATACGCGTTGTTATCCCTAAAGACTGAGATGCAATACCTTGTAATCTGTAATATTAGCTCTCTATCTCCAAACGGGAACCCAATACTACATGCATAGACGTTCTACATCCAAATTAAGATGGTGCTGGCCCAGACAGAATCGTTGGCAGTAAAGGAGGCTACGAAAAATATAATAGAATCTAGACAGTTTTAGGTTTTCTATTCATGTGATTGGAGTCACCGATTTCGATACCGTTACAGCCTATTAAAATCCACTGCTGAACCTGAACACCACTGAAAACCTTCCCTATAGATTGCCTCATAGGGAGTAAATTGGCTATAGTTGCCAAGCTTGGCAAGCGGGTTGGCAACCGCAGATTTCTATTTTAAGTCGTTAGTAGAAAGACCCTGCTGCCTATCTGATTTGTTACCCTCTGTCGCCTCTTACGACACCCACGGGATGATATTGGGTAGTGGATTTACAACGCCACTAAACGGTACTTGGACGGACTTACACGGTGATTGGAGTTATAAAAAGGAATAAATTATTAATTTTAATTTTAATTCTAATCCTATAGTACAAATAATTATTGAAATTACCTGGTTGTGATGCATATTATGATGAGACTGCGGGCGAATGAAGCTTCGCTCCCTCATAATGACGCCAGGCGATGTGAAATCCTGCATTCTGTAGCTCCTTTGCAACTCGCCCCCTACTCCCATTTGGGTCTGCATTTTGATGTCAGTTCCCTTTTTTATAGCGGACTTTTTTGAGAGTTGGCTATTCTGGACGGTTATTTAACGCTTGTATTTTCTTTGGTTATTCAAGCTTTTTTTATTTAGCGTTTTGTTTTTTACTATTTAACAACAATATTTCTTTCTAATAAAGTTCTTTAAATAATAATACAACTTTTATAATGTCTACAATAATAAGATTATAAATAAAATAAATACACTAGATGAATGACTAGTATTATAGTTACGATCGAAGAATGACAATATATTTTCCGTTAAATTTATTTTATATTTACAAAAATTACGTATAAAAGTGTTCAAAGCGGGCAATATACACATTCAAATGCGTGTAATAAAGAACAAAGCATTAAAATTAAAATTTAAAGTTAATCACAATGCTGTATTGTGACGTCACGTTAGAGATCAATAAATATTCAATTTATATATGCATATATAAATCTATAAACACCGAAACCCCATCTGTCGTGGCCACTGATAGAGGGATTTCTGAACGACTTTTTCGAGAATTTTTCGTTTTCTAAATACGACTTATAAAGAGCGGTGCAGGGTTGCTGGGTGCCTGACAGTCACAGAGCGATTTTTATAATATTACGAGGGGCAAAGAAGCAGCGGCTTCTTCGGCACCAAGCTCGAATCGTTTCGTCGAAAGGCTTCTTGGAACCCTAATCTGTAACAAAAAAAAATATGATTAAAAATGTTGTCATATCTATATATGTATGTATATTGTATGGCAATACATGTTTATACAATATATATGTATGTATATTGTATAAACATAACAAATTGCCTGTTTGTTTCAAAAAAAATATTATAGAAATCTTTAAAAGTAGATTATATCAATTTCTTTTAAATAAATGCTATTACCCTATAAATTACTTCTTAAATGATACATTTGACGTGAATTGTAATTATTGAAATTAATCTTGACTTAATTTATTAATATGTTATGACTAAAAAATATTATGAATTAATTAATTGACATTTTTGTTTTTATATAGATGCTACTTGGTTTCCTTAAGTATAGCTGTAAGTATATTTATATTCTATAATAATGAATGTCTTGGTTTTCTGTTAAATTGTAACATAATCTGTCTGAAAATATTTGTACGCAGGAAACTGCAGAATATTTAGGATCTGAATTATTCTGTAACAACTTAAATGTACCATATTCTAACAAATAAATTATTTCATCTTATCTATAAAACGCAATTTAAAAAATAAGTCGATTTTGAGGTTCATTCGATGGATCAGTTTTTTATTGAATTTTTTTTAAATTTCTAATTATAATAATTTATTTACATGACATTGTAAAATATATACAATATTAAAAAAAACTATTATAAAATTATAGAAAATTATATTACTGAATTAAATAAAAAATTAAGAAAATTTTATTTTTATAGGTATCAATTTTAAAATCTTTAAAACAAATCAAATATCTGTTATTATTTACAGATCTATTGTTTCCAAAGAACATCAGTCTCAAATATTAATATATAAATATGTAGTGCATGAGAATGTTTAAAATCTACGAAATGTATCATGTATTCAGTCAATGGGAATATTACTTATTGCACTGTGCGCATAGCACGTTCGCGGACATTATCGTCAAACCGGAAAATTTAAAGTTGCAAAAAATAGATGTCTGTGCCTTTTTGATGTTGTTTTTTATACAAACTAATTTACCACAGATAACTTTATATTAGTCAGAGATGTTTTACTAAAACATAGTGATTATATACTATTTGTGTTTAACCTTGATCGATGACGTTTCAACTTTCAATACCTACGTGGTTATCCGTAAGGCCTAAACATTTTGCATCTAGCAGATTCGGTAGAATCTACTAGTTAGTCTGTGGGCCTAAAGTAAAAAAGATATTGAAGAAATTAGCTCACTTAAAATTATCCTACTTATCTTAAAATTATCCTGTGAGCATAATGTTGTTCGATGACGGTGTGTGTCTATTTATATTATTATTTACGTATGACTTTGCCAATCTTGATTATTTGAAATCTGGCTAAACATAAATTCAGTATCAAAAAATACACAGAATAGTACAAATGTAAGAACAGAACGGAAATTATAAAGAGAATGCCATAAAGTTTGAAGGATGATGTGCTTTAACTTCTTTTTTTTAATACAAAGGGATTTCTTACAAGCAAACAGATAACGGTAAATTATTTCATGAAAAAAGTAGAAGAATACACTAAACTATGGAGGGATAGATTAACAGTGGCACGAAGAATTGCGGGAGAGAAAAATTTACTCAAACATATCTTTGACTAACGTAACGTGGCGTAACATGATTGTAAAGACCACAGTTAAAGCATCCCTGCAAGGCTATATAATTATATTTAAAACGAAGTGTCTAGTCAAAATTCATCCGATTAGTGGACGAATAAAATAATTTTGTGGTCCGATTAGCAGACGACTAGCATCGTCCTATTTAAACCACATTGTGAATACACTTTTTTTAGAATAAACGAGACAAAGGAGCACACAGTCCACCTGATTTTAAGTGGATACTATTGACCATAGACATCTACATCTATCCTCAATCAAAAACCAAAATGCAGATGCTTTCTCACCTCTGAAAACTAATCTATACAAATAAATAAAATTGAAGTGTCCGTTTATAATATCAAAATAACAGCTTTTTTACGAAATGCATATGAAAGTTTATACGGTACTTGTAACACAAAAACTATTTTTAAAATTTCTGTGTGTCTGTCTGTTTGTTCTGGCTAATCTCCGAAACAGCTGGACTGATTTTGATGGGCCTTACACTGACAGATAGTTAATATTATAAGGAGTAATTTAGACTACTTTTATTTTTGAAATAGAATTAGGATCACGCGTAAAAAAATTAAAACCCATTAAATTCAGCCCAGGCGAAATCGCGGGGAACAGCTAGCAGCAGTATAATGAAAAAAGGCTGAAATAATTTATATTATCAAAGATACGAAAGAAAGAAGATATAAAGTGTATGTAAGGTACGTGAGGGTAATATGTACCTTACGCTTTGCCGCCTTAAGCTTTGCCGCCTTATAAAACCAAAACTAGGAGGAGGACAGAGACAAATACACAATGTCGTATACTATAACTAATATAGAAAAAAATAACAAACAAGCCTTGGCAATAATTAGCAACACTTCGAAAAATCAACTTAAAAAAAACTAACTATAGTACGTGAGGGTAATATGGTCATCCGGTTAATATGGTCACTTTCTTATAACTCAAAAACTACAGCGTCGTTTGTATAGAACGCTCTGTGATACGATAGCTCTTAATCAGTCAATCAAATAATAAAGGATTAAAAAGGAGCTCCTTTATCGACGCTATTTTGAAAGTTGACATTATTGTAAATATTTTAGTCGATTTTAGTATTGTGTAGTGTAGTTAGTATTTTTAAGTTGATTTTTCGAAGTGTTCCTAATTATTTCCAAAGCTTGTTTGCTATTTTTTTCTTAATATATTAGTTATAGTATATGATTTTGTGGTTTTGTTGCTGTTCTCCTCAAAATTTTGGTTTTATAGGGCGATAAAGCATAAGGTGATAATATTACCCTCACGTACTTACTATAATATCAACTGTCAAAATGGCGTCGATAAAGTGGCGGCCTTTTGACCCTTTATTATTGGAATGACTGATGAAGAGCTATCGTATTACAAAGCCATCTATGCAAATTAGGCTTTAGTTTTTGAGTTATAAGAAAGTGACCATATTAACCGGATGACCATATTACCCTCACGTACTCTAGATAGCGTTTAAAATCTACTCATTCGAAATATTGTTTACCATGAGTAAGTTTTCAATTAATTTAGTGTGGTTATGTCGGTATTGCGTTTTTCAGACTTACAAGGTCTCACTCGCTACCAAGTTTCATTTTACAAAGTGTTACACTCAAACCGGTTTGCAAAATATAGCTGCGTTGGGTTTAAAAAAGGAAACAAGCATGTAAGTTTGTACGCGAGAGTTAGTACAGGTTGAAATGCATATTTACATCATCATTATCATCACAAGTCCACTGCTGAACATAGGTTTCCTCAAGGGAAAACCACAAAGCACAGTCGTGAGCCACTTGCATCCATTGACTTACTGCATGTCTTACCAGGTCGTCACTCCTGCTATTGGAGGGCCGCCCTACATTACGCTTACTGGTAAGAGGACTCGAGGATCTTTCTGGCATTTGCCATATTTTATATTGCATTGAAAGGCATATTTGAATGAAATGAATTTGATTGAAAACAAGTGAGTAGAATTAAAACAGAGGCAGAAAGAATCAGGTGGACTGTGTGCCCCTTTGTCTCGTTTATTCTAAAAAAAGTGTATTCACAATGTGGTTTAAATAGGACGATGCTAGTCGTCTGCCAATCGGACCACAAATTATTTTATTCGTCCAGATTTCAATAAAGTCTATACTCTCGGTTTGTATTAATCGTTTTTTTTTCCTAAAGAATAATGACGACACACGAGTTACAATCCTTCTGATGGTAACTGAATGCTTCGGCTCATAGACATCTACATCGATCGATTAAGAATCAAAATGCAGATACATTATCACCATTGAGGACTAAGATGGAATGCCTCGTTATCAGTAAAAAGGTTTCCCGGTACTCACCACACTCACCATGCGAAAAACAGCAACAATACACTGCTATTTCTTAGGCTGGTATTCTGTGAGAGCATGATCTTCTTCGTGTCTGCAATACAACTGCAGTATAGCTAGCTTCATTACGAATAAACGCAATATTGTTAGCTTTAATTCATGCTTTACATCAAATTTGACGTGGTAGACCCATGCTGCAGCTATAATAGTAGTATAGATGTAGCACGAATTGGTCGGCTCGACCGGGGAAGGACCACGCTCTCACAGAATACCAGCGTAAAATAGCAGCTTAATGCTGCTGTGTTTCGTATGGTTAGTGTAGAGAACCGGAGACCCCTTTTTACTGTAAGAGCTATTCCACCTCAGACTTAACAGACCTGAACGCATCTGCATTTTGATTCGCAAACAAAGATAGATGTAGATGTCTATGGGCCACAGCAACCACTTACTCAGGTGGACTGTGTGCTCGCTTGTCACCCTTATCCTATAAAAATATGTCCTCCAGACCGAATTTGGGTCACGGTGGCTAGTTATATGCCAGTACCTCATGGTCAGAAATTGCATTCACGACCACTACACCAACGATGCAGTTAAAGCCAAGGAAGCCAGTACGCAGCAGAAGGACGAGTGTATCTATAGGTTGTATCTTATCTTTACTTATTCTTCATAAAGTCAATAGCCTCTTTAATCGGTCTCTACTTAATGACGTGTCTACACAAATGGCTATCATTTTACGACAGTATGTGACCAGCCCATTGTTACTTCAGTTTGCAAGCACCGAAGGCGATATTAGTTATTTTGGTTCTCTAGCAGATTTAATACTTATAAATCATATCTGCTAGCGGGAATTCTTATCAAAACTCCTTCCATTGCTTGCTGAGCGATTTTTTTGAAGAGTAGCTGTATCGACAGTGTATAGTGTCTATTTTTCAGCGTCGGTATCTCAAGTAAAAAGGTATCTTTATACAGAAGTAGCGATCCGCTCCGGCTTCGCACGGGTGATTTCTGGATCTCGACAACGGCATCACCTACCGGGTCCAATTGTGAATCGCTTAG